TTATTACATTATCACATACGAGTGTCAACACTCACCAATTCAACGACATCGACAAGGCTACATAAAAATATCAATAAACAGCTTGTAAATTAGAAACAAAAAAACACTGAATAGTTAAACTTAACTGATATTCAGTAGATAGAATACAAATCCATGTTCCCGTCTGATGTTGTTTTCACCTGTAACTATTTGCGGATTTTTTTAGATTCTTCGATCTATTAACACTGAAAATCATTCCTAACAGAAGTCATTCCTAAACCCAATTGAGGAATGAAGACGGATATGTTATAAAAACTGTGCATTTTCTTCCCGTAATCAAATTGTTGCCAATCTCAAAGTTATGAAGATTTGGCTAAAAGTTTCAATTTTGTAGTAATATTATCAGCTCCAAAGTGTTGCGAAAATTCGAACCTTTTCTGCTAAATCAGGTACCTTTACAAACCCCTAAAATAACTCCAAACTTGCAACCAGATCAAGGATGATCTTTGCGATTTTACCATCTCAACAAAGTCTCGTTTGTGTACAGAATACTGATAGCTTTGTTACAATCTAGAGAAACATTGTTTTTTTTTAATTAAAAACTGACTGAAATCTCTACAACCTGAAAACTGTTCATGGTTTGAACCATTCTTCATGTTTTTCACATTTTGAACACAGAAAATATTCACAATTTTGTTTCATTAATGACACGTTTGTGTACAAATCTCCAGAGCCTCGTTGCAAACCATCAGCACATTGGTTTATTGCACCTTGCAAAATTTTACGCAAAACACATCGAATCACCCTAAAGTTTCTGAAGTGTTTTCAGAAACTTTAGGGCAATTGACTGTGTAACAGATAGATTTACAATGTTATCAAAAATGGCTTTGCATATCATTTAAGCAAACATCCGGACAACTAAGTTGCAATTCACAGAGAAACTAAATTTATGCTTTTGAAAATAAAACTTTTGAACTGAAATGGAAACGTCGAAATTTATTATCCACTCAAGGAGTTCACACGCTCTCGTTGTCTGCAAAAGCATGAAAGTTTCGATGGAATCAAAAAACACGTCCGTAAAAAATGGAAACTAAACACTCCACTATACGAAAATAAAACAAAATACAAACCCATTGAATAAAATCTTACAATTTTAGGTCTTCTTAGGAAACTCCAGGAGCTTCATTGCTAAACTAAAAGCACGTTCATTTACTGTAATTTTTTTCAAAATTTGGGTAAAAAGCAAGTAAGAACTTCTCAATTTTATAACTTTCCAATTTCTGAAAACAATTGACTTACAGGATAATCAAGAATAATCTGCCAATTTTTTTTGCTCATAGAAATCTCGTGTAAATTCAAAATCCTAACGATTCAGATTCCATAAAAACAATCTAATTTTTTCTGTTAGATTGAAATTTGGCTCTAACTTAAGTTGAGTGTTAGTAGAAGACCAAACTTTTCATTCAGATCAAGCATATGTTTAAGACATTTTGACTGAAAAGGCACAACAACACAGTTTACATTATATAGAAACTGCGCAAAAACATCAACTCAATCAAGGCGAAATTGAGCCACTAAAAAATCGTTTGGGTACAAATCCTAATTTTTCGGTTGCAACCAAAAAATATAGCGTTGTTTCTTGGGATTTGAACTTTGGCTTATTCGAGACGAGAAATGTTGGGCTGTGCGATAGAAAAAAGGCATTGAGCACCTTGTGACTGAAAACTATACAAAACTTGAATCGTATATGAACAAATCGTAAACATTTGGCTGAAATTCAAAGAAAAAATACTGATTTCTTGTGAGCATTAAAATTTTAGTGCAAAAGTTTTATATCAAACGAAAACTGGTCACATTTAGGAATGTTTTCCGGGCTTTGAAGCCGTGGTCTATCGGAATTTCTTCCTGACGTTTCGTCCACAACTGCGGTGGACATTTTCAAAGGCGATGAGGCAGTGGGCGAAGTGATCTCCCGTGCTTTCCGACTAAGAAACTTCTTAATTCTTCTGTCTGTTATTTCAGAATTTTAAACGTCACTGAGTTTTGACTATTTTTCGCTTCTTCCTCATGATTGATCGCAACATTCCAATCTACGTGTTATTTTCAATTGCCTCCTTCGTTTCTTCGTTGACCAGCAAGCAGTGTTTATATGGATAATTTCACATCCTTGTCAACAAAAAAAGGCTCTAATTGCGGAAGCATTCACACGAAGAGACACAATTAGATCACGACGGCCAAAAACGGCGTAAAAAACGATCACGACTATTTAAAGTAAACACAGGTTTGGTGCGTCCAAATTTCTACATTAAACGTCCAGTTAGACGATTTAGACATTATAAGGTAATTTGTACAGCTGTTGCTCTGGTACTAAGCGATTTTAATAGCGCGACTCGATTTTCGCGGTTGAACCGGTGATTAAAAGCAATTTCTCGCGAAAAAAACCGAATTGAATTGGCAAAAAATCCTGCTGGCGGCACTTCATCAAAGAGATCCAGATCAAAATATCGGGTGATTCTTGATTGATGGGCCGGGACCCGAAGGTGCACTAAATAGAGGCCTTTTTGGTCTCATCAGTCCTCGATTCAACACCTTCGAAGGTTGATCTTCGTGAAGATAGGCCGTTTTCATCTCGCGTCGTACCGCTTCGGCATTTTTACATAGATGCTGTTCGCTCGATGGGCAGACACTGCATCGCCTTTCAACGCTATTTCTAGACGGAAGAAACCTAAATACTTCTGTTTCTTCTAAGTAGAATTTCACATTAAAACCAAGTCCGGGAGAAATAAGAGCGTAGTACAAATAAACCGGCGGAAAATCGGATAGTAACTAAGAGAACAATAAAATGCTCCCGGCTATGCACACGATCCGTGCAGAGCCGCTTAAGAGTTTTCAGAGCGAAATCTTACCGTGCTGGAAAATGTTCAACTCTCCACAACTCCCTAATTCCTGAGTAAGGTAGGTGGTAACTTTAGAAACGTTTATTACTGCGATGTCTTATCTTTATTATAATGCGCATCAGCGCTAAAAAAACCCGGACACTTTGCTGATTCGTTCCGGCATTCGAGTCCAGTTTTTTCGGATATTTTGCCGATTTTCACGTGCACTGATTCGGAAAGATTTATCGAAGTTGAAACGGGGAAACGATGCGAACTCACTTACTTACTACAGATACTTACTCGAAAAAGTTAGAGAACATTGATTAACCTGAATGGGTTGGTCTGGAAAAGTACCCACGGAGGTCAACTGCACTGTTTTCTATGCAAAATGCGTAAAATTTGAACTCATATCGAGGGAGAAACCTTCAAAAAAACACTGATAAGGCATCAATATTCCGACAAGATCGATTGTTATAGAACATGGAGTACGTGATTTTATTTTTAGACCGGCCTGACTTTACCGAAGAATTTTAGTGATGTAATTTATTTATTTGCACTTTGCATGCGAGTGGAATATTATATTATTTATTTAAGTCGATCGTAAGATTGTTTCAAACAGGATACCATAAAAACCGTATACGTATGCGTTTTGTATAATTGGCTTAACCAGCTAGTTGCTTCGCTTGTTCCTTCTAGAATTCTTTCTTGCAAGAGTCAAGTTGGGTACGGTGGTGATGCAACAAAGAAGGCACAGAAGGAAAAGAGGCATGAATAAGTATGATGCGAGTACAATAAGGAAGAACCGAATTTCACGCCTAATATTATAACTATGTTTAACGTAGGTAATGTATGCAACGTTTTACAACACTTGCCTTACAAAAGCGCACTTAACGACCGCAGTAAATCGAGAAAAACGTTAATGAATTTAAAAATGGCCACGCAGAAGAGCCTTTTAAAGTCGCCTCTAATAAAATATAACATAATAAAGCGTAAATAAATTTTGAGAGACATTTATTGTCGATGTACTGTTCTAGCAGGCAGCGCGCTTTCTCTGCATGGAGAAAATTCTACGAGACATTACTTCGTCGTTAACGTTGAAGATTTATAGATTTTCGGTCTAGCATGGAGAAACACGGCTACTTTTCGGTTTGCTGTCGATTTGTGCCAGTCTTTTTTTTGCAAATATTGCTCAACATTTTAAAGAGACCATCAGCAATTATGTGCAAGCACATCGACTGAATCGACTTAGTACCAGATCGCCAAGGTTAAGATATTCACGAATACGAGAACACATTTGTTTTTAATGGTGTTTCTAATCAAACAGATGTAATGGGCGAAGATTCCTGGGTTTTCCCATGCGAGATTCACGATTACCGGCACATAACGTGCATTATCCGAATTTAATTGCTTCATCAAGACCATTTTTGTTTAAATTTTGCTGGCAAAATACGTCATTTTTCGACGATGATTAACGAATCCATAACCGAAAGGTTATTGAAGCACCAAACGAATCAAATTGCAATTGAAAGCTGCATTTTCAATTCGTTAGAGTTTTTGGCTGTGCGCCTACAGAGACTCTACTCTGTGATACATTTTTGAAAAGTTTTGAGCAATTTTTTCCTCCAATTCCGTCTGTGGTGCACTGTAAAAGTTCTGATTGCAGAAGCATAAATTGTGTTAAATTTTAATATTTTGAAGTATTTTTGCCATTTACATATTACTGTTTTTGAGTTACCGGTAAAAAATATGATAATAAACTTAAAAGTTCCTCAACTATGGATTTAGTTACTGATTTCTTCTCTGCTATGGATGATATTGATGGTTTCTTTAAGCTTGCTTTGGATTCTTAGTATGTTTATTATTTAATATATAAAATGTGAGCATCCTTGTAGAAAAATTATGTTCAAAACTTCCTACAAAAATCCACGACACGCTGTTTACTGTTCGCTACTCCACAAAATCAACTCCATGTTGCTCCTAGAGCTGTTTAAACGGTCTTTTTCTCAAAATTGCATTTAATTTTCGCAATTATTTAGTGTCTGGTTTGCGCATTAGCATTATTTGTTTATAATTAGACTAAGCCACGTTAATATTATTGTTACTATCAAAATAACTACGATTTTTCATCGTTTGTTTCCTTTTCAGCTGTGGCGAAAACCATATAATGGATATGAACTATGTACGTATGAAATCAATAGTTAGTAGATACACACTATTTTACTAACATTGGCACTAATTATCAAGCAAATGCACCGTTTAATAACAAAAATTGCTTTTCAATACAGACATTTACGGGCTCACTTTGAACCTAAAATTGGAATTTCCTAGATGTTTTCCATTTGTCGATTTAAACCTGAAATTAACTTGGAATTAAGTCATTGGTAAATTGCCCTAAATAGGGCTAATAACGTTAAAATGAAAAACCTTGCTATTCAATTAAGCTACATTATCTCTCAGACTGCTTAAAGATCAAGTCGTTTCAATAGGAAATTTCAATGAAGAACTTCTGAAAATTATTTAATTTAAATTAAATTCAGCTTTAGCACACATCAGTTAATTGATCTTTAATCGGTAGGTACCTACCTGCATGGATATCGACAAATTTGCTCATACAAAGCCAAACTGGCTCAGAAAATAAAAACCGGCAAATATTATTCTACTTATTATTTTGCTTCATTTATTTTCTTTTAATAATTTCACTTTATGTGTTGACTATTAATAATAAGTCAGATTTTATGCTAAATACTCAGTTCAAATTGCCCATTAAATAACTCAAGGAAACGACTATTATATGCAATGGATAAGAAGAATGAATAGTCTAACTGAACTTAAAACTATCAAAAAAGTTCAGCTAGTGGTCAACTTGGCCAAGCGGCATTGCCGAGGCAAATCTCCAGGCAAAAGTATGTAGGGGTTTTCTAGCTTATAAAGGAAAGATCATCGTTCTAGAAAGATGACAAATATAAATAATCTTTTAATGATTTCACTTTAACAGAAAACAAGAGAAAATGTTGAACAGTCCTAAATAAACCTTCATTTGAAAATAAATAACTTTTGGAAATTGTTGGCTCGCTATAATTACACGCAAAATATCATCTAAAGTTGCTCAACTTTGAGACTTTCGAGTACAACTGAAAAATTCAGAACAGCAATTTTTGCAAACACATATATTTAGGTTCAAGACAAAGTGGAATGTCCAAATTGAGTTCCAATTAACTCGACTCTGATGCCATCAGTACAAAGTACAGCCACTAGAATTGCGAAAAAAACCGACAAAATATGTGCATTTCGTGCGAATTAAACAAAGAGCAATGATGCGCCTCTGCTAATGCAAGAAAATGCAAATCAGCCACGCAATGCGTCGCTGCACTTGTACAATCCGTATGTGGCAATCAGTCGATTATTCCAATAAATTGAAAGATGTTTTGCCATTGCTCAACTGCTAATTGCCTCAATTGTTCGACCAATCGCTATGATTCCACCATGAAAACGCTCTTGATTAATATTCCATTACGTTTGAATTGAATTTTATTCAGATGTAGATGGTGCTGTTTGTACTGCACTCCTTGCAGGAAATGACTGAATTTTTTTATGGATCAGGTCAACGAAAACACCCAATTTGCGAGCCGATAACACTGACAACATGGGTTTAGCTTGTTAACAATCGATTAAAACAACTGTTCCATGTCGGGCATATCGAATTCTGTAGCGTTTTCCGCATTTTTATGGACTGAAACAAGGATTTCAACTTTGCACAGTTTCAATTTCGATGTTATCGCCATATAATTGCACCGTAAAAAAACCCATGCAGTAACGGTTACTTTATCTATGGTGTGGCGAAGTGTTCAAATGAAGTGAATACGTTTTAGATGATGAAGAGTTCATGGTGAAGATCCAGGAAGAAATAGAACAATTGACTGTGAGAAGAGATTCTAATTCCAAAACAATGATCGTCAACAAACTGAAAAGTCTAAGTCCGTCTAAGATAACCTCAAGACTTCTGATGAAATTGAACAAAAAGCATTAAAAATATGCTTCAAAACTGAACTCGAAAATATTGGAAGACGTCGAGCTGAATATTCGCAATAATGCCAAAAATTGGCTTCTTCCATTTCTCTTATTCTCAGAATATACGCACATTAATAAAGGGTTGGCTTACTAAATAGGAAAGCAAATCGACAGTAAAAATATTAACAAACCAAATCAAAATGAAGACAGAATAATCAGATAGAACCATGGAAAAACGCTCTACTTCACTTTGAGTTCTGTTCAACTATGAGCATATTCTTCTATAGAAATACTGCCAAATAGATGCAAAACTAAAGTGTTTAAAACAAATAAGTACCAGAGACAAGAGAGCTGAAATTATAGAAACTACAGCAATTGAAAAGGCGACAGAACAATCGATCTAAAGTATCGAAAACCGTTGCCTCAATTTTGCCGCATTTAGTTTATCAGTTGTATCAACGGATCTACACACCTACAAATTATTTTTTGAGTAGACACATTAGCTGAAAAAGAAAACGCGAAAAGGTCTTCTAGATCATCTTTAAAGCAAAAGTAACTGTAACTAAAAAATAATTTGTGAATAATTAAATAATAGGGAACGAAAAATTGGCATCAGGGACCAACGCAATGAAAAAATGGAACTCGTTCCGAGCAGAATTAAAGTAGAAAAATTAATATTCTGAAAGATACACATGGAGGAAGGAACGAAACGTACCTCTGAATTGTGAAGAACTAAATCCAAGTATAAATTATACTGAATAAAAGTGAACAATCGAAAAATCGATCATTGATGAGCTAAGGATTCAGTTGCAATCAAGCTTTATTCAACTTCATCAGCTTTTGGTAATATATTTGCTACTGACCCTGAAGAATCAGAATAGATCCAGGCCAAAAAATTACATTTTTGCCAATACGTTTAGTAAAATTATAACGCAAAAAGTTAAGTAAGACAAAAAAGGTGGAATCTTCTGGTTGTATCTGCTGTTTGAGCTGCAAACGCTTCTCTGTTTCCACTGCTGGCATCATTCAACATCCCAAAACATACAGTGTGTTTCCCATTTTTCTCCCATTTTACTTGCGATAGGGAAGCAAATTGAATGCTCTTAGATCAGATCAGATCTTCTCTGGGTTGTTTCACATAAAATATTTCGTTGTGCCTCGAGCTGTAAGCTTTCTGCACTTTAAGGTCCCTAAAGCCAATCACCAGACCATTGAGCAATTGAATGTATTTTCAAAATGTTGCAGGTTTTTGCAAATAGCAACTTTTTCCACACGGTGCTTGTTTAATGCTGTAGGTCAATTAACGGGCATTTCACAAATGATAAAGTCGCCCGAACAGGTACAATGGGTCGAACGCGATTACAAAAGTCTTCGCGGATGACCGTCTTTTGCAATAATTCAAATTATAGTAAATTTGAAACGTTGCCAAATAGAACTAATGTATCTTTATCGACTGGTTGGCAACTCATTGCATACATATGCACATGACATAATTTCGTAAAATGTAATTACGGTCGTACAGTTCCATCCTTTTGTGTTAATAGATTTTCTGTTTTTATTGTTTGACACACTTAAATAATAAGGAAAAAAAACATGCACCAGATAGTGTGGAAAAAACGGTGTGAGACACTGATTCGGATTTTCTCTTTCTTTATGAGGTTAATTTTTCTTAAACGTGGCAATTAACGAAAATCTGTAACTGTCCCATAAATTTCGATAGCATTGAAATACCGACATCGGTGCCCATATGGTTTCGGAATTTTTGAATACATAGCACCTGATTTCAGTGACTTCAGATCTGATTTTTAACTAATGTGGTCACATATCTACGTTTTAATTATCGGTCAGTGTAAATGTTTGTTAGAAACGATAGGCGCTTTATAGGGTTCGTCCACGACATTCCTTAATGAAGTCGGCATTTAAACGAAACTGTAAAAGCAAATTAAGAGATTGGAAATATTGGTTAATGTTTCCACATTAGCAACTCTCAAACCTCGAGTCGCCGGCACTGCTCATTAAAGGCGGCTTTATAAATTTCCCACTTTGCTTGGAAATTCCGAAAATTGTTAGAGTTCTCTCGTGGGACTAAAATTCCGAAGCAAACTCTTAAACATTGCTTTCTAATTGGAGCAAACGATGCTCCCAAACTGTGATAAACAATGATGAGCCCAAGCCGAAAGAATATTTATCGAATATTAATAATAAATTAACAAAACAACAGCTGCACAACGAGATGGCTTTTGGAATAGATTTGAGAAACTAGATTGCATAACATTGAGTCTATAATTTTTTAGTCGTTAGCATTTAAAAATCGAACCGAGCCATCGAAGTAAACGTAAATATGCCTTTTAATCGGTTTTTGAACGTGTAGATGATTCTGCGGAACTGGGTTATTTCAGTTAATTAGTTTCAGCATTAGGTCGCATTTAGAACGGCTTTCGAACATTTTTTACATAAATTTCTTATCGATTTGAGAAGCAAACTTCCTTATCGATTAGCACTAATACTCACGCTGAAGCAACTCAGTTGATCTCAAATTTATTTATTCCCATAGACATTTAATTAGTTGTTTTCTTCGTCTATTTTGGTGCATTTGTATGATTAGCATTTTCCACTTTGTTCCGTTCTTCCCAGGTGTCTTTTAATTCATTGCAATTTTTTTTATTATATCTGCAAGATGTTTGTCGTTTCAGGGATAATCTTTATGACGATTTGAGCAATTTTGATCATTTTTCCATCTATAAGCAACTTTAACTTCTGTTTGGTAAGATATTCTGGTAATGTGAAATTGAGCAGTTTTCTATTGATAAATATAAGGGGTTTTTACACAAAAAGGAGTTTTAGTTGTCCTAAAATAACTTCAAAATCTGCTTGACACACTTCTGTTTGTAGTTTAACAGTATTATAATTTGAATTTTTTGCCTTGATTTTGTCCTTCTGCTTTAGCTTGACGTTTGCGTGCATTAAAGATTAATTATCGTATTTTTGATATACTTAGATTTCGCATTCGTCGGTTTGGCCTTTTTTGGCATCTGGCACATGTTGATATTTTATAAATTTGCTTTTAATTTTGTTTGCATATCATTGCTTTACTTACTGAGCTATTTTTTGAAGTTGGATAAAATTATAAATAATAAATATTAAAAAAAGCGGTGCATTCATAAACATGTA